TTTTCATGTTTCTTTATTCAATTATTTCCGATGATCTGCAAGTGTCCTTATATTTATGACCAGGAAGTGTATATAATCACAAGTTCTCATAATGTTGATCATTGTGTCAAATCATGCATGTATATATAAAAAAATAAATTTGAATCCATCAAAATAATTCACTTGGAAAAGAAAAATGTTGGTTAGTATTGATTTGTTTAAACTGATTTATTTAATATATTTTATCTGACTATATACTCTTTTATTTATTAGACTAAATTATGTAACCTATTGAAAAGCATAATTTCCATTTCATTTTTTTATTTTGTTGGAATTTTGTCCAAATGGATTAAGGTAACATATATATATATATTATTGTTTGAATTATATTCAATAATCTATATAATTAATATAACTTGTAATTTATTATTGGGGTAAAATAAGTATATGAGACATGAGAAAACACCAGAAGAAAAATTAAGAGATGAATTGTATCAATCAAAAACTTATCAAGAATGGGTGGGAAAAGTCAAAGAATTAGATATGTGAGTTTTTTTCGAATTAAAATGACTTAGTAAAAAAAAAAGGATTAAATATTTATCTTAATTTACCTTTTTTTTTTTGTTTAGATTACTAAGTATGTCATCAATATTATTTTAATGTGTTTTTTTAAAAAAAATTTAGATTTTGAAATTTTAATGATCTTTTAATTTTTAATTATTTCAATTAGAGAACGATGAATGGAAAAAAGATCGAGTATCTCCATATTATGATTATAACTTGATACAAGTTAGATTGGATCATCTTAGGGAGAGTAATGATGTGCTTCAAATGATCTATATATTACGATCAGGTAATTGTTAATATTTCATAAATAAGTGGAATAGTACATTGTAAATAATCCAACACGTTTGTCTTTTAAGGCCTTTTACGCAATTTGGGTGGATTAAATGATCCAAAATTATTTAGTCAATCATATTTGGGGTAATAAAAATTATTATTATAAAGTGACAAATGTATATATACATATATTTATTTACTTTATCAAAAAAAATTATTATATAGAACCAAAAAATTAATTGAAGATTATACAGAAGAAGTTGTAACTCAATTAGAATATATTGGGGAAAATAACTTTGCTGAATTACCTAATTATTCAAAAATCGAATTTTTTCACGATACAAAACAAAGTTTTGGTAATACAGCTCTAGTACTTTATGGTGGAGCCACATTTGGTATGTGATTGTGGTGAAAATCGAATCATCATGTAACGAATAATATTTATTTATTTATTTTGATTAATTGATTGATAATAATATTTATTACTTGATTAGGTTTATGTCATCTTGGAGTTGTGAAAGCTTTAAATGAAAAAGGATTATTGCCTAGAATTATTAGCGGTACAACTGTAGGTGCATTGATTGCTGCTTTAGTTTGTATTAGAACCGATGATGAATTACCAGTAAGTTTATGCTCTAAAAATAATAAAAATTATTATTACAATCATTATTATGTTAATAAGCCTATCACTATTTGGTTATCACTAGAGTATTTTTAAAGAGGGAGGTGTTGATTTAGGCGCCTTTAGTAAACTTGGTAGTAAAGGAAATATCCGTAGAAAAATTTCCAGGTTTTTAAAACATGGTAACTAAAAGAATAAGCTTTAATTTGTTAATAATATTAATAAGAATTAATAAATCATTAAAATATATCGCTATTATTAATATTATTCATTTAATTTATTAGGACATCTTATGGATATTAAAGTTGTGGTAGAATGTGTTAGAAGTAATGTTGGAGATTTAACTTTTGAAGTTAGTTTATTAAATGAAGAAATAATGAATAAATATAAATCGATTTAATTATTTTTAATAATAAAATAATAACTAATTTATCACTATTTTTTCTTTAAAAATTTTTTTAGGAAGCATTTGCTAGAACAAAAAGAATATTAAATATTACAGTGTCTTCTACCAGAAAATTTGAAGTGCCTCAATTATTGAATTATTTAACAGCTCCTAATGTTGTAAGTGTGAAACCAATAATTATTTACAATTTATAATTTATCGGCAATAATACTATCATCATGATGATCATGATTATGACCAGTGGTTATTAATTCTTATTTGTAAATTTAGCTAATATGGAGCGCTGCATGTGCATCGGTTGCAATGATGGGGTTATATGATAGTGTTGATTTATTAGCTAAAGATAAAAACGGTAATATTGTGCATTGGGCCCCATCAGGTGAATGTGATAACATTAATTTTAATAATAATGATAGCAATAGTAGATTATATTAATCAACAATAATATTTATTTAAATAATTTAGAAATTAAATGGAAAAAATGGACTGACGCGGTTCCGACAGAAAGGTTTAATAGCAAATTAAATTGAAAAATACTATTTTATTTTTCTATCATTTTCTTCAACATTTTGTTATTATTATTTATAATTCTAATCAATTAACTTTTCTAAATTTAATAGTGAATCACCATTGACTAGGATAACTGAATTATTTAATGTCAACCATTTCATAGTATCGCAAGCAAATCCTTACATTGTACCATTTTTAACAAGAGAACAAACCATTAAATATAGTTTATTAGGTAAAATTGGTTATTTTATCTCAACAGAATTTAGACATAGATTATATCAGGTAAATTATTAATCATTAAATTCAAGAACTACGATAAAATATGAATAATAATAATTATGATAATTAAAAAGATCAATAATTAACTAAAATTAAAAATTTTTAGTTGGAACAAATGAAACTTTTACCTAAAATGTTTAGGGAAATGGTCGATGAAAAGGTTTCAGGAAATGTTACAATTGTTCCTTCTATTTCCTTTGATGTAAGTGCATACAACAATGATATAATGATATGTAAATATATTCTTGATTTTTTGTTACTTCTTATTAAACTTTCTATCTTTAGGATTTTAAAAAATTATTTTCAAATCCATCTCATTCTTCCTTGGATTCTTGGATATTGAAAGGTGAACAATCCACTTGGCCGCTACTAGCTCTAATAAAGAATCGTTGTATCATAGAATTGGCTCTTGATAGAGGTAATAATATAAACGATGATTATTTAATTATGATCATTCCATAATATTTCTATTTCTATTTTAATATTAATAATATTAATACTTTATATTTTAATAGTTTATTTGAAATTAAAATCAGCCCCAAGTGAACGTAATTATTCAGTTTATCCTAATTCCAATAAAAAAATCAATAGAAAACGTACAAAATCTGTTCATTAAAATCATTATTATACGGATAATCGTAATATTTATTCAAATAACAATAACAACGATTTGCATTAATTATTCTATCTTAATGTATTGAAAATTTTTCCTCTATCTGTTGTATAGCATTTATTTATTAAATAATCTGTCAACTATATCTTGCAATAAACATGAGATTATGTGATTAAAGACTCGTGAAAATCTTTTGTTTTATTTAAATATATGTTGTTCATTATTTTCAATATCATATATGAACATCAACCAGGCTACTGCTACTCCTCTAAAGAAAAAATCAAAAGCTTTTATGTATTGTTTGTTCATGAAAATGAATTTGCAATTCACGTACGTGACAATTAAATTAGCCAATCAAAAAGAATTTCACTCATTTTAATAGATAACAAATTCATATTAATGTGTAAAAAAGCATGCATTGTCCATTTAAAAACTACAAGATGAAGGCCGTAAAATTCTCGTCCTATGAATTTTTTCAAATATAAAATTTTTTTTTTCCTTTTTAAGAATAATTGTTGGAAATTTTCAATTGTGAAACTTAAGAAAAAATGGTAATTGATCCTTGTGATTCTTCATATCCTCATCTTCCATAGTTAATTATATCATATGTTAATATGAATCGGTTTTTTTTTATAGGCGCGTAATGAAGAAAAGGCTCAGTAAATATATTTATATAATCTTGTATTGTGTTAATCGAAGTTTTTTTTTACAAAAAGACCCATTGATTTTTTCTCCCCCCTAGGTCTATGCTCTATCGTTTTCGTGAAGCACAAGCAGTTCAACTTGGATTAGTTAAACCGAAAGAGCGTAGACCTTATTTGGCATCGGATTGCAATAATTTAAAAGATGCAGAAAAATGGCGACAACAAATAATCAGAGAAATTTCAAGGAAAGTGTCAAAAATTCAAGATGGCAAGTTATTTTTTTTTTATAATAAAGCGGGTTTTTTTGTAACGGTGATTATTATTAAGTTAATATCAGATTGATCTGATTATTCCTTTAATAAATAATAATTAATAAATTTAAATAATAAATAGCTGGTTTGTCTGATTATCAAATACGTGATCTTAATGATGAAATTAATAAGTTAATGAGAGAAAAAGGTCATTGGGAAGATCAAATAAAGAAGCTTGGTGGACCAGATTATAGGGTTGTGATTTTAATTTTTGTTTTAATAATGACGGTATTAGTTTTTTTTTTTATAATTAATGTCTTTAATTCATATTTTTGATTGATTATATTAGAAAGTAGGACCAAAAATGTTAGATCATGAAGGAAAAGAAGTGCCTGGGAATAGAGGTTACAAGTATGTTGTTTGATCGACCAATTAATTTATAAGTAGAGATAGAAATACAAATATTTACAAATATTTTTATATGTAATTATAAAGATATTTTGGTCGGGCGAAAGATTTACCAGGAGTGAGAGAATTATTTGAACAAGATGGTAAATTATAGATTATGATTAATTTAGTTCTAAAAAAGATCAGGATTCATTAAATAATAAATTTTATTTTTGTTGTATAGCGCCCACACCATCAAAACGCACACGATTTGATTTGTATAAAAATGTAGATGCAGATTATTACGGATATAGAGACGAGGAGGATGAGACGTTATTAGAATATGAACGAGAAAAAGAAGAAAATCGTATATGTCGATTTAACCGAGTTTTTTTTTCTTTTTTAATTCTTTATTTTTATTAAAGTTTTCTAATCTATATTTTTAATTTATATTTTAGTCATTAAAGAAATATTACAAAATCAAGGTAACACTGCTCAAAAAAATAAAGATATAAGTTCATCAGTAGAAGGAATAATGGATGTGGATGATTTTTCAGAGAAGTACGTGTCACATGTAGCAGTACCATCTCAAAAAGACATTGAAGAATATCTGGTACAGAGAAGGAAACGTCAAATACTTGATCGTTATGTGCCAGATAACGACATTGGTGTTTAAGGATTTTTAAAAAAAATTTAGATTATATGAAAAATAAAAAAATTACCTTTTAAACATACAAGTCAATTTTCAAAATTTATATAGAAAGCATTTACATTGACAATAAAAGTTTTTTTCGAATTATTTACCATCATGACGGTAATAGTTTAATTGTTGTGCCATATGTCCTTCCATCATTTTTAATTGAATTTCGTCCAAAATAGAAAACATCCGTTTCGCACTATGTTATAATTGGAAAACCCCATCAATTAGTCAACTAATATATGTCATCGTCAAAAAAAATCAAATGACTTTTGGTAGGCGGAACCAAAAATATATTCAAATGTCGAGTGACAATAATTATGAATACCGTATTCTCTCGAATATAAGCAACACCATTTTAACGCGTTTTAACCTACAAAACTGTAGTAATAAACTTCGCCTTTTCTGATAGGCTTTATATAACACTAGAGTAGATAAATTCCGACGGAAAATTCGCTAAATTAAAAACTCATTAAATTATAATCGGTTAAATTTCCCCAGATAAGTGTATGCATAACATGAAGATATAATAATTAATGTATTAGTATATACTGGCCTTTTTAATCATATCTCTAGATAATTATAAATATGATAATGTAATCCTAATGACCCGCAGTGGAGAATTGTCTAAAACAACTTTATGGCTAGGCTCATCGATAGAAAATTCTAGTAGAGAAGACGGAGCAAATTTTATTCAAAGATTTCAAAATCAATCCCGGTGATTTATTTTTAGTTGGTATTGACAGAAACAATAATCTTGATAATATTGAAATTGCATATAATGATCCTAAAGGCGTTATCAAAAATTTCATTATTAATGGGTTAAATCATGTTAATGCTATTCTTGGACAAAGAAATTTTATTGATATTAATGATTTTGAATATCATGAGAGTGAAGGTAGACATGAAGCTTATTATAAATCCAAGAAATATATGACATTGAAATATACTTTGAAGAAGAAAAGCAAGTTTTAATAAATTTGAAAGAAAGATGAACAGATTCATATTGAGTATTCTTATATATAAATATAATGCAAGACTTTCTCATGTTGAAAGTTGATCAGATTCATAACCTCAATATGGTCTTCATCTACCAAGTAAACCGCCATTTTATTTTGGTCATGGTGAGGGATAATAATTTATCACAAGAGTCTATTCCAACACTAGATGTAAAGCTCCTAACGGGTCGGGTTCAGGTTGGTCTCGGGCCTGTATTACTAAGAAAGACATTTCTAATACTAATCTCAAAAAGATTTTATTTTGTGAATGTCAACAATATCATTTTATTTGTTAATGCATGCCCACTAAAAACTTTATGATTATTTTATTATAAATTGTTAAGAAAATAATATATAAAAATAAATTTAATATTATTCATTCTCATCTTCAAACTGCCACCAATTCTTCAAACACATGCACATTCTAATTGTTTCAGGCTTCAAGCTACATCACCTTTGTGAGATCAAGTCAGTACCACCAGAAAATATACATTAAACTTGTACAGTAGAACCTTTTTAAATAAAATTAAATAAATAAAAATTAAATTTGTAGAATAATTAATAATGTAAAAAATTACCTGGGATTGATAAATAATCCTTTGCCATTTTTGAAAGATTAGGATATTCTGATTCATGAAGCTATAAAAGGTTGAAAATTTATAACTCTAAAATGTTAATAATGTGTTTAAATTTTTCCAGGATTTTATTAAACTTAATAAATCACCTTCCAAAATAATAAAATATCTATATCCAAATTTGCTGATGAGCTATTCAGGTATGTATCAAGTTCATCAGCATGTACAAATTTACGTTTTTTCAACATGTGGTTTGCAAGAGGACTTGAGGTATTAACAGGTTGATTGGTAGCAATTTGTTCCTGAGCTTTGTATTTTTCTCACCATAAATTTGTAATTTGTATTGATATAATAATCCTCAAAACCATTTATCATTATAATATTCCATTTTAAGTCTTGGATCTATAACTGTTTTGTAATTTAACAATAATTATTACTTAAATAAAAAATCAAAGTGAAATAATTATTTACATACTTGTTACAATAACATATACTAGCCCATCCAATGTTGGATAATACTTTTGAATTTTATCTTTTGCTCTATTAGCAGCAGCTACAATATCACTAAGATGTTGTTTTTCATCAAGAAAGTCTTCAATATTATCAATTAAGTAATTATAAACAGGAACAGAAGAGCCAAGTGTAGGATATGATGATTTACTCATTTCAAGTGTTGTCTTTTGAAAACACTAAAAAAATAATAATGAAATAGGTCAGATGTATATGCAACATCAAGATATCTTTTTAATTTAATATTATAACCTAATTTATTATATACAAATTATAATTTGATTCATGACAAATAAAAATGTCAATTAATGTTAAAAATATAAACCTCCAATAAATCTTTTAATCTCTCCAATTTTTTTCCAATCAATATATGATAAGACATATTTACTAAGTTCTCTGTCAGCAGATGCCATGTTATGTAATGCCTAATAAAAAAATCATTAATTGCTGATTCGCGAATGAACCAGAGAAATGATCGACATTTTAATATGAAATTTTGGTGTTAATTGTTATGAAAATTCCCAAATCTCACTGTCCTCACACATGTCTACACAAAAAGTATAAAGAACACCTTAGAATTCTTTCAAGATTGTTGAATACTACTTTGAATTCTTTTGCAGTTGTTTTATTGACTTGACTTATAACAACATGTGGTTCATTTTGGTAAAATAAAAGTTTTTTTGTTGATAAACCGATAAAAAAAAATGTATAGCTCTGGTCAAGAATACTTGATAGTGTTGGCTGAAAATTAAAAAATTCCAAATTTTTACGGTGCAGATCATCTATAATCATTAATTGCTTATAGTAACAATTGGTCAACTTCAAAATACTAAAACAAAAAAA